ATCATTTTCTAAACACATAATAAAAATTAATTTGATAAAAATAAATAAATAAATAAATGTATAAAAGATTTATCAATTTTACATAATTTTATCTGTAGTGAGTAGAAATAAATTTTAAAAATCAAAAATATTTTTTTGACATTTATTTTTATCAAATTAGTTTATATTTTATCAAATTCATAATTTTGCCCATGAAATTAAGTAATGATATTTTTAATTGTCTTTATTTTGGAACAAGATTCAAAATTTAGGGTCAAATGTGTCACAATTGAAAAATTAAGAATCAAAGTGACACAAGCCTAAAACTATAGGGACCGTTAGTGTAATTCGCCCAAAAAAATATAATATATTCTTTTTCATTTTGTGGTTGATGGTTGTTAAAAGTTTACAATCATGATTGGATGTGTGTGCGTGGAGTGTTTATAAGGTTCTATGACCTTCACCTGGTCAGTAATTGTTCAGTGTGAGTGATTTGTGGATCCCGTTGTATGATCAAAATAAACTTGATTAGGGTTCATCTAGGCGTGGGCTCAGTTCTCAACCTTCTTTGGGCCTGACCATAGGTCGGGTGAGGCTTTAGGGCCTGGGCTAGTTGGGTTGGGGCTATCTTACATCGGATAGCCTTTGTGTATGTGTGGTATTTATACAGTTCCATGGTCCTCACCTGATCAGCAATTACTCAGTGTGAGTGATTTGTGAGTCTCGCTGTGTGATCAAAATAATTATAAAAAAAATATAATATATTCTTTTTCATTTTGTGGTTGATGGTTGTTAAAAGTTTACAATCACGACCAAGGTCAGTGTTGAGACATGCGGATAAGATTGCCGTTCTAGATTTTCGAATTTTGTTTAAAAAATAGAGTTTTGAAATAATTTTGATCTTAAATTATATTTGATAAATTATTTTGATCTTAAATTATGCTTAATTTGTTGAAATGAAATTGAACGGAATATTCAATCCATCATAATGTTTGTCCTCAAGTTTGATTTATTAAAAAAATATTATAAACAAAATTATCATTTATCATTGTAAGGGAAGTCATTTTATAAAAATACTGATATTACAAAAAAAAAAAATCATCGTATACCATTGTGAGTGAATAGTCATTCTATAAAAGGACTAAGGAATAACCATCCCCTTCAATTTAATTTATTTCAACGAACCAAACACTATATTATAATGTTAGTAGTTTAAAAATGAAGATTTACAGAATATTCTAATAATAATTGAATTGGTGAATTATTTAAAAGTAAAAATGGATGGGTGTTTGCCAAATATATGAATTATTTATAAAATGTTGTTTAACTATATCAATTATAATTGTTTCTGGAGAAATAATTTATGTTTAAAAAAAATTATGCCCAAAAAAAATATATATAAAAAAGTGTGAATAAATTAATAATGTTAATAATTCAAAATTTTCAAATTTATCTCAACAATTATGATTTTCATCAATCTTGATGGTTATCAACTATGAAAATCATATGAATTGCTAAAACAGCGAAAAAGAGAGAGGTTAAAAGAAAAGAGAAAAGGCAACAATGGATGTTGGTCCCAACAATGGAGATGCTGATCATGAATTGACGATTGTTTCTAGACAGCAAAGAAAGCCTAGAACATCCTCCACCATCTTCATAGCCAACATTCCAGAGCAGTTGCAAGTGGATTCCCTAAAGGGCATTTTTCAAAGATTTGGTGGGGTTGTTCAAGCTTCAATTTCGAATAGAAGAACCAAACGTTTCAACTCAAGATTTGGCTTCATCTGTTATGAGAGACCAGCTTCGGCAGAGGAGGAAACTCGAAAATTCAATAAAGCATGGTGATTATCATCTTATTGTCAAGCCTGCAAGATTTGAGAGACCACCATATCCCAAGCATTTTCAGGCAGAACAAAAACAGAGATCCAACTTTCATGAAGCACGTTATCCCAATACATTAAATCTGCCAAGAGTGCAAAGTCAAAACAAGCTATCTTATGCAGACATTGTAAAAAGCAATTTTCAAGCAAGTGACCAAGCTAAAAGGGTATAAGTATCTAAACCTACTATTAAAGTTCATGCAGCGGAAGTAGGAAATGAATGGCTCTATAGAAGTGTGGTGATGAAAGCAAGCCTTCCAAATATAGATCAGTCCATATTGAGCTCCTTCTCTCCTGAGGATGCCATGAAAATTCAGGTGCATGCTATGAGTGGTAAATCATATTTCCTAACTTTTCAATCGCAAGAAGATATGAGAAATAGAATCGAAAAAAACAAGGAATGGTTTAATTCAAGATTTCAGGATGCACAAGAATGGTCTCTTTGGAAACAAATCAATCCTAGCTCAAGAACAGTGTGGATCAACTGCTATGGAGTTCCATTGAATCTTTGGAATCTCAATACATTCAAGAGCATAGGAAGAGTTTGGGGTGAAGTGATCATGGTTGATGATTCAACGTTGAAGCACCTATCTCTTGAATGTGGAAAAGTTATGATAGTAACAAGTCAGTTCGAGGTTATTAATCACACCATCACTTTGGTTTGTAAGCATGGTGAACATGTTATCCGTGTTGCGGAGGAACTAATTATGAACATTCATACGCCAAAGGCTGCTGAAGAATTTTTTGGCAAAGAAGATGATGACGTGTCTGATGGCGGTACTGTCCTGGTGGATGTGGACAATGTGCACCCAATACGGGACGAACAGGATGGCACAAAATCTCCACAGGGAAAGGAATTGATCTTCCAAGCTTGAATTCTAATAGGCAGACGACAACCTTCATTAAATGGAGAACAGGGATGTCAGAGCACGCCTACTATTAGCAGCCATACTGTTAAGGAAGCTGATAAGTTTACTCGTTCAAAATTTAAGGAGTTGGGCCAAATCACTGTTTGCAAAAATAAACAGGTAGTTTCTAGCCTATCAACCCAATGCTCCCTTTAAGCCCATCCCCTCCAATCTCATCAACCCCATTTCTTTCTAACCCACAGCTTTATTTCAACCAATTGAACCTTTCAAATAGGGCCGGCCCATCCTGTTGAAATTGATGTATAGAGAAATAGAGAATTGTATAGATATTGATTGTATTATTTATTGATGTAGAATATGTTTACAATGATGCCTATATATAGAAGAGTAGAGTAGGTAGGTGTGTAGTAGGTGGAGTAGGTGGTAGTGGTAGGTTTTAACAGCCCCCCGCAAACTCAAGGAGGAGAGACACAAATCAACTTTAGTTTGGAAAGAGGAACAAAATAAGAAAATACATAAAATAAAAGAGGATAGGAGACACTGTATGGTCGTGTCAGACCGTTGGAGAAGACACTGTATGGTGGTGTCAGACCGGTGTAGGAGCTAACCGGAATCAATGTCGAACAGTTTATGGAGTCATGTCGGACCGTTGGAAAAGCTAACCGGAATCAATGTCGGGACAGTTTATGGGGTCATGCCGGACCGTTGGAAAAGCTAACCGGAATCAATATCGGGACAGTTTATGGGGTCATGTCGGACCGTTGGAGAAGATACTGTATGATTGTGTATATAGGCTGCCCAAAAGATATACATGTAGATATATATATATATATCGAGCCCTTAAAAGTTGTGCCCTCAAAAGGCGCGCCCACTGCATCAAAAGCCGTGCCCGACAGAAAGCATCGAGCGGCGAGCCATCAAAAGGCGCGCCAGACACGCGGTGATGCACGTGAGCGACAGAGCGGCGTGTCGGCCGCGTCGTCATTGTCGATATAAACCAATGCGGAGGCTGTGTAAACCAAACCAGGCTGAAACCTCTGAGCATTGTCATTCTGAAACATTCTGTAACCAACCCGTTCTGACATTACCAGTCGGAAATCACTGCTTCTCGGAAACACTCATCAACCCAAAACATGGCCTCTTCTTCCCGTGGTCTACTCACTCTCTTTCCAGACCACAACGAGTCCACAAGAGAGATAACTGGTGCGGTGGCCCTTGAACCTCAACCAAGCGCCCCTGAGTTTGCTCTGTTGACCTTTCCTATGCGGTCTGTGGAGCAAAGAATGGCAGCACAATCAAATATTGAGGCCAATCAGTATACATTGAAGTCATGTGTGGAGACGATGACAGTAGTCACAAACTTGTCGCACCGGCTTCAGAGTAGGACAAATGAGGTGCAGCAGTTAAACGCCTAACTGGCTCTGCTCCAGCGCATGTATAAGGATGCGCGAGCAGAAATATGTGTACTAAAGGCGGAAAACAAGGAGCTGAAGCGGAAGGCCACCGTTATGTTCCGATTTGGAGGTCCGCCATATGCTGCAGTGGAGGAGCAGGAGGGAGTGAACGTGCTCGGCGGCGCGGGAAACATAGAGGCAACACCGTCAAGGGCCGCCCAGGACGGAGGCAAGAAGAAGAGACCGGCGGCAGAGTAGAGAAGAAAAATCCCGCCTGTGGATGTGGTTGTTTTGTTTGTGTTTGTGTGGTTTTTTTTTTTTTTTTTTTTTTTTAGTGTAAAATTGTGATCAGGGCGAAGTCCCGATATGAATAAAATGAGTTTATTGTGCAAATCCAAATGGCTTGAAGGTACAAGACTGAACAAAAAAATTAGATGGAATGAATAGAAGGTTTTTTTTTTTTTTTTTTTTTTGTTTTTTTTTTTTTTTTAAAAGAAAAGATAAAAGGTTGAGGTTCAAGGAAAAGTTGGGCGGTGGAAAGAAGAAAAAGAAAAAAAAATATATATATATAAGATAAAGAATGTTTGGGCGGTGGAAAATGTGATGATGGTTTGGGGTGGAGAATATTTTAGAATGGAAAAGTGTATATAATAACAATAAGAAAAGGGAATTGGGTGGCCCGAGGAGGGTTCAATTCATTTTCTTATTTATTTATTTATTTATTTATTTATTTTTGGTAGAGTGGATCACATGGGTGAGTGGTGGTAAAGGAAGTAAAAGAAAAAATAAAGAAATAAGAGAAGAAAAGTAAAATGGGGTTGGTGATGTATATGGAGAGAGAGAATCTAGAGAGACGAAATCCAACAATTCCTTCAAGCCTAGGGAGAGCATCGGCGGCGCACATTAGAGAGGCAAACACTACCGTAGAGGTTGAGGGGCATCAATTCAGGGGTCTCATCAGTTGCATAACCAAACATGTGACCCTGGTCACCAGCACCAATCTCCTCAGGTCGCTTGGTTAGATGACTGTGGACACCCTGAGCAATATCGGGGCTCTGCTGCTCAATGTTAACAAGGACCTTGCAGTTGTCGGCATCCAAACCTACATCATCAGAGATAAACCCAATAGCATGGCAAGTCTCACGCACGATTTTCTCATAGTTTACATTGGCCTTGGTTGTGATCTCGCAAAAAACCATGACCATGTTGGTCTTGGTGCAAGTTTCGCAGGCAACTTTACTGTCAGGATCCTGGGCAAGGCAGGCATCAAGCACTGCATCAGAGATCTGGTCGCACAGCTTGTCAGGGTGTCCCTCATTCACTGATTCAGATGTGAATAGGAAGGTCTCCATTTTGTTCAAGCTTGCTGAGAGAGAGTTAGCTTTGCCTTGTGCTGCTTGTTTGCTTGCTTCTTTCTCTCTCTCTCTCTGTCTCTCTCTGTGTGTGTGTTGTGTGAATGGTGTGAAGAATTGGTGCAAGAATGGAAGAGAGAGACAAGAGTTCAGTTATGGAATTTGTGGCAGTGGATGGAATTTGTGTAGAGGTCCGGCGGGCGGCCAAGGCGAGACTGCCGCCCGCCGGTGAAGCAGAATGACTAGGTTGTTAACCTTGCTCTGATACCATGTTGAAATTGATGTATAGAGAAATAGAGAATTGTATAGATATTGATTGTATTATTTATTGATGTAGAATATGTTTACAATAATGCCTATATATAAAAGAGTAGAGTAGGTAGGTGTGTAGTAGGTGGAGTAGGTGGTAGTAGGTGGTAGTGGTAGGTTTTAACACATCCCACACAAAAGTGATCCATCAGGAGGACCTTATCCATGTTCAATCCTGTGCTATCTCCCAAACCCACACACATGCTCCTCTAATCATCCCTAATTCCCAACCTCCACTTCTCTGTCCTCACCTCCGCAGCCATCATTCTCCATCTCCACATCTCCTTCCATCTCATTCAGATCCCATTGTGAACTCCTCTTTGTCAATCGTCCCAGACTCATTTCATTCCGACTCTGATTCTCTCGAACCAGCACCCAAAGCATCTGATAACCATTGGATTGATTCAGTCATTGGAATCTCTAAACCACTAGTGGGCCTATCCAAAAGGAAGAGTAAAAGGAAATTCCTGCAGCAAGTGCTTGGAAATGTAGCAGCTAACAAGCTCATCCGAAGAGAGGGCAGGAAAAAGGCTGGAAAAGCTGCAACATTCCGATCAACTGCAACAACTATTTCGCTGTCAATTTCTTCGGATGCCATTGTTAATCGGAATCACATTATTCTTAACAAAGCCTAGCCAGTGTGGGAAATTGGGAAGCTCCTTGGCCTGAAAAGTAATGAAAAAGATGATGAGGTCGTTAGTAAGCTTAAAGAGCTCCATGATCAGAATGAGCTTCAGAACAATGAAGCAGGAGGTGAGAAGATTTAATTCTTTGCGCACTCGGCCTATCCATGGATTTATAATAATGTTTCCCATGAAGATTATCTCTTGGAATATAAGGGGCTTAGGGAAAAGGGAGAAGAGAAGAGGAGTTAAAAATCTTATCTCTCAGCAAAAAATCGACATTCTGTTCTTTCAAGAAACAAAGATAGCAACAATCACTAATCAGCTCATCCACTCAATTTGGCCACACAATGATCTGGGTTTTGTAGCAGTAAAGGTTGAGGGATCTTCGGGCGGGATTATTAGCGTCTGGGACAAATCAATATTCGCAGTTTATGAATGCATTCAGAGATCGAACTTCATACTACTAAAAGGCACGATCTCTCTAGACTTTGATTGCATTTTGATAAATATTTATGCTCCTAATGAAGCCAGTGGAAGGAAAGTTCTATGGGATGAATTATTAAGCCTCAAAGCTAGATATGATTTACCGTGGTGTATTGGGGGCGACTTTAATGAAATTATTAGAATTGGGGAAAGAAAAGGATGTCTAACAATCTCTGCTAGTATGAAATAACTCAGTGATTTGGTGGCCAATCTGGAGCTTGGAGACCTATCCCTGCAAGGAAGATCTTTCACTTGGTCAAATAACCAAGAGGCTGACAGATAGAGCAAAATAGATAGGTTTCTCCTTCACTCACAATGGTTGGACGGATTCGATTTCAAACAATGGGGTCTTCAATGATTATTATCCGACCATTGTCCAGTTCTCCTCATGGTGGATAATAGAGATTGGGGACCAAAGTTGTTCAGATTCCTCAATGCCTAGACCTCCCATCCTAAATTCGTAAATATTGTGAGAGATGCATGGAGTCAGAGAGTGGACCTTGGCTGGGCTGGACACAGAATTTCCATGAAACTTAACAAAGTGAAATCAGTTCTCAAACGATGGAACAAAGAGGAGTTTGGTGATCTGAATGAAAAATTAACTTCCATTGGTAATCAATTACACACGTGGGATCTCCTTCAAGAGAATCGTTCTTTATCTGATGAGGAGTTACCAACAAAGGGAAGCTGAAATTCGACTTCTGGAAAACCTCATGGCTGATTGAGAGCATTTGGCTGCAAAAATCAAGGCAAGTGTGGTTCAAGAATGGGGTTAAAAACACCAAACACTTCCATATGATTGCAAGCACAAGGCAGAAGAAAAATTCAATTGGCAATCTATTCATTAATGGAACATATTTAGAAGATCCGGAGCAGATAAAAAGAGCAGTCAGGTCTCATTTTCAGAATCTTTTTTCCGAAAAATGGCCTTCAAGACCCACATTCTCAGGACCTTTTCAGCACTCACTTTCTGATATGGATACATCTCTATTGGAACAACCTTTTTTAGAAACTGAGATTTTGGATGCAATAAATCAATGTCAAGGAAATAAGGCTCCTGGTCTTGATGGCTTCAATATGAAATTCATCAAAAAATGTTAGGCCTTCATAAAAGTAGATATTTGTCTCTTTCTCAATGAATTCCATCTAAACAGCAGGATCAAGAAAGGTCTGAATTTTACCTCTTTAATCCTGATTCCAAAAATTCCAAATCCATCTTCTTTATCTGACTACAGACCCATCAGTTTGATAGGCTGTATTTATAAGGTTCTAGCTAAGGTTTTATCAAGAAGATTGAAGTCTGTTATGCCAAAGATGATAGATGAAACTCAATCAGCTTTTGTAAAAGGGAGGCAAATATTGGATGGTATTCTCATTGCCAATGAAGTTGTTGATTTGTGGAAGCCAATTCTTCAGGAGGACTTCTTCTTAAATTGGATTTTCAAAAGACTTTCGACAGTGTCAATTGGAACTTTCTTTTTCATATTCTTCATAAATTCGGTTTTGGTGAAAAATGAATCTCATGGATTAAAGAATGTGTTTCTTCCCCTCATATTTATGTATTGGTAAATGGATCCCCTTCTCAAGAATTTCCTCCTCAGAGAGGTTTAAGGCAAGGTGACCCCTCTCTCCCTCTTTCTCTTTAATCTTGTAGTAGAAGGGCTAAATATTCTCATCCAAAGGGCCAAAAACCTCAATCTTATCAAGGGAGTGGATATTGGTGGCTCAGGGTTGAACCTATCACATCTGCAATTCGTAGATGATACCCTTATGTTCTGCAATCCAGATTGGGATGAGATAATAAATCTGAAAAGAATTCTCAATTGCTTTCAGTTGATTTCCAGACTGAAGATTAATTAACAAAAGTCTGTAATTTGTGGAGTTGGGATAAACAGGGATTTCACCACTCAAGTAGCTGAATTCTTCAATTGCAGGGTGAGTTCGCTACCAATCAATTATCTTGGGATGCCTCTTGGGGCCAACCCAAAAAGAGTGTCTACTTGGGAGCCTATCATAAACAAAGTGAAGAAAAAACTAGCCTCATGGAAGATGAGGTATCTTTCTCTTGGAGGACAAATTACTTTGATTAAATCTGTGCTTTCTTCTTTTCCAATCTATTATATGTCCCTTTTCAAAATCCCTACCCAAGTGGCAAACTTAATTGATAAATATCAGAGATCCTTTTTATGGGGGATAGTGATGACAAAAGGAAATTGCATCTTCTCAACTGGGAGGCATGCTCAGTTAGCAAACACTTTGGAGGTTTGGGCTTCAGAAATTCTAAGGAAGGTAATGACACTCTACTATGCAAATGGTGGTGGAGATTTGCCACTAAAAAAAGTTTCTTGTGGAGGAAAGTTCTATGTGCCAAAAATAATGTGAATGAAGATTGTTGGTTACCAAATGGCTCAAGCTTCAAATATTCATCTGCAGTGTGGAAAGTATCTCATCTATGGAAAGGTATGGGTCTAGAGCAATTGCATTATTTTTGGAAAGCATTCAGTTCAAGCTAGGCGATGGTAAAAGAATTAAATTTTGGTTGGATGCATGGGTCTCCTGTACTCCTTTGTCCAACCTTTATCCTAGACTTTACTCTCTAGCAGCAAGCAAAGATTCATTCGTCCATCAGTATTTGTATCAGTCTGTGGATAATCAAACTCATTGGAATATCACATACATGAGAACTTTGACAGCATGGGAAGATGATTTTCATCTTGAGCTGTTCAGTAGATTGCTGCAACCTCTCAGCGTTAATAATAACTGTGTGGATCATCTGCTATGGGCTCTTATCCCAGCCGGCTCCTTTATAATTAAATCTCTTTATGAAATATTTGAAAAATCTCTTCGTTTAACCCCTTTTCCAATTATGAAGATATGGAAATCAGTAGCACCTCTCAAAATTAAAGCCTATGGAATCGGATTGCCTCTTCGGATCTCCTTGCTCATAGGTTCATTATCCCCGCAATCAATCACTGTGCATTCTGTAGTATCGATAACGAATCTACATTACACTTGCTCTTGCATTGTAATTTTGCTTGGAAGGTTTGGGCTGAAATTTTTTGTTGGTGGGGCTCCCAGTGGGTCTTCCCTAGCTCCTTACAAGACCTGCTCTTATGGCGGTTTGGTAAAAAATTCAATAACCTGGGTAAACTCATCTGGGAAGCCGTTCTATTGGCTGTGCTTTGGAGTTTATGGATTGCAAGAAATGACAAGGTATTCAACTCTAAAGTTCCTATTTGGGGAAATATTGTGGATAGCATCAAGATCAAAGTGGCCACATGGGTGAAGTTTTCTAGTCATTTGCCTAATTACACAATCCATGATTTCATGCACTGTTTGGTTGGATTGAAAGGCCATAAAATTGTAGATTCCGACTGGATGTCGACCTCTGTTGTTTTTATTTTCTTCATTTCCAGATTTGGTTGAGATCTCATCAACCTTTTGTATCGGCCTTGGCTTGCATATGATTGGGCTCAATTATAGGTGCCAACCTAGTTGGGATGTATTCTTGAGGTATGATGCAATTCAGTCAAGTCCTTCTTTTCTCTCTTATTATCAATAAAATTCTTTCTTTGTTGATCAAAAAAGAAAAGAAAATCATATGAAATGGCTTAAAAATATAATATAATAATTATTGTGAAAACAAATTATAATTAAAATAGAATAATAATTTTATCATAA